AAAACTGGAACAAGTCAGCTCAAAATCAGAGTTGTGACCCTATGAGAAAAATGATGTGCAGCAAGGAAGAAAATTCTCAGAACTCCCCACTGATTTTTGAACAGAGACAGTCATAAGCCCATGGTTGAAAGTATATCACAGAAGGGCATGGGCATGGAAAGACCCCAAATCCAGACACCTGTATTGAATCCCTTCTTGAAGAGGGAATGCTGTATGATCTTATAAGTATGGAGGCATATTGGGAAGCTCTTTGCTTTGAAGGAAGAGATTGTACTCCATAATTAAGCAAGGAAGAGATCTTAAAGATAGAAATTAAGATGTTAAAGCAGGGTTGGGAGATCTGTGGGAGAGGTTGGAATGGGGACAAGAGAGGATACAAAACATGGAGCCAAAAACTACTTCTCAAACCAGGTGGCCACATCTCAGAGACTCAGGGACTTTGGGGAGGAAGACGAAATGGCAGGAGATTAAGTTGGTGATTCACCCAATACTTTTCTCTGTATTTAGGTAAGAACAGCTTCTCACACTTACTGAACAAAAACTACCCAAAACTTGTCCACTGTCAAGGAAAGCCATGCCACAACTGAGACCAAATAATCTAGGTTAGATGGAGTAGATGAGGTCAGTGATGCTGGGAGAAAGGAGAGTGCTTTGAGAGAACATGTACAGATTCTCTAGTGAGCACATCACTAGGGTTTGGTCCAACTTACATGCTCCCAAGTTGCCTAGAATTCTGAAGACACAGATTCTAGATGTTAACTTTGTTCCCATCTTCTGGTAATGGCAGATTGTTTGGGGTACACTATGATACCAGCACATGTCATTTATAGGAATGCAAAGGTTTATTTGAGGAGAAATAAAGCAAGTTCACACACACACACACACACACACACCCCCAGGGAAGAAAAGGAATAAAGAGCCCCTGCAGACTAGATTATAGTGGTCAGCGTTGGTGGGTGGTGCAAAAGGAGTATGCATGAATTTCGATACTTGTGGAGGTTGGTGGGCCATGCAATGAGAGGAACAGGCTTGGAAGGATGCATGAAGAAGAGCAGAGGAGCCTGGAGAATCTGTCAACTTCTGCCATGTGAGCACTATTGAGGGCATGGTGGCCCAATCAATGCTTGTCCATCCCCATCATGTGACCTGTGCCTGTACCTTGTCCACAAGAGCCACAGCAGCTGTCCTTCTAGTGGACATCTGGTGAGGACCACCATCAAGAGCCGATGTGATGGGCAAAAAATGATGCTTGTTTAGCTCTGTCTGGACAGCTCAGTATGAATCTCCCCTTTGTAATGACCCAGAACAGTTACATGTTCCAATGGCACTCCCAACCCCATCTAGAGAATACAAACAAAAACAGAAATTTAGGCCCTCGACCCCTAGGGGTATGTGGGACATGGGAGAGAAAATCCTAACACCTGATTGAAGAGAAGCGACTTGAGATTCTTTCCCAGACCTGGGTCATGTGGAATCATGGCTATGTGAACCATCTCTGTGATGTGAACAACAAAATGGTATTTCCTGAGGTTGTCTCCCTAGCCCGTAACTCACATTGCTATCTTAATTAAACCCAATTAATACTCCATTTCAGCTTTGATTTTTAAAGTGGGTATCACCCAGGCTTTTATAATGTGTGATTCTCTTTGACACTGTAGTACTCATCTCCATAATCTCAGTATCAGCAAATGTTACCTAGACATTTATCGATATTGCTAAAACTATACGCTTTCCACTCCCACACCCTGGCTTGAAATATGATTGGCAAGTAATCTCTAAAAGATCCGATAAACTGCTTCTTGACATATCTTGTTGCTAATTTGAATTATCCAGAAGTACTGGAAGAAAAAGTCAAAGGTTATTTTGTAACTATTATTAATTGTGAATATTTAATATAATTCTACATTGTACATAGATTTACATGGCTGCTTTAAAAGTGCTTTCATATACAAGTCTAGAAATATATTTAGCCCAACTTGGGAAACTTTACGCTGAAGACATTAGAGCAGATAGTTCTTCAGTTGTTGAAATTAGGTCCTGTCTTGGTCAGGGGAGAGAAAAGGCCTTCCTCCATCATGATCTGACATAGAAGGGCTCTCTTCTGAGTGACTCCACGAAGGGCTCACTCTCTCTGTGCCTACTTGAGTATCTTATTGTAACCTCTGGTAGTAGAAATGTTAGGAAAATGCTACACTTGGAAAATTCTCTATAGCTATTTGTTTTTGTTTAAGTAGATCAAGCAATTAGGCTGCTATCAAAGGTAGCTGGCTTTCTAATTTCAATGTGTCAAAATTATTTTTTTTTGAGTTATACAAACACACAGATGCAAACCTGCCAAACAATTTTTTAACTAAAAAATTAGTTAATCATTTTTAACATTTTAAAACTGAAAGTACCCCAGGAGTGAATGTAAACTTGCAAATTAGTTCCTTTTAAAGAAGATTTGAAGAAAAATATCAGTAATGTCTCAAACCCCAAGAAATAATTTTTTAACCCCCAAATCCATCTAGTCTTATAAGCATTTGAAAGGACAAGTTCCTTTTGGGAATTCCCATATAAGACTCTACTATTTTTGTGTTGCATCTTGCTTATGTTTTTAGAGATGGTATAGCAGATTTGGTTGTATGAAAGGAACTAAATGTTTTCAAATTTTGCATGGAAGGTTTTTTTGGGGGAGGAGATTTTTACTTTTAAGACTATTTTCAGATTTCCTCCCAATGTAGCCCCAATGTTATAAAAAGATTCACAACTGGAAAAATCAGTGTGAGAGTCCATAAACTTTGTGATAGACTGCCTTCTACCTAGAGATAAACACCTCTTCCCCATGTTAGGGTACATTGGTTGCCAGCAACAGAGACCAACTTTCTGATTTCAGCATATAAGGACTTTGTAGGAAGGATTCTGGATAGTTCACAGATTCCAAAGAGTTACTGAATCCCCAAGCCTCTGGAAGGATAGGACCTGGAACAGTTCCAGGGAACTGTCAGGAATTCACTTACAGTGTGTTCTCTGGACAGTGACCTTAAAAAAACCCAGCCTCAATGGTTTCCATCTGTTTTCCACACTGTTATGGATAGATGCAGCCTCCCAGGAAAGAAAGTCCAGTTGGTTTGACCTGGGTCACATGCCCTTTCAGTACCCTTGAGAGATTCCCATGGGACTAGAAGAACAGGAAGGGGTATGGTGCTTCAAAGGAGGCTGTTGCCAAGAGAAGGGGGTGGGAGACTGGCTTGGCATCCCCTGTACCATGGCAAAGTGGAATCACTGAATGGAGTTCTATTTCCTGCTGCCCCTTGAGCATTGTCATCTGACAAAAGTCAACATGAATGCAGGTAGAAAGACTGTATGTAGATTAAAAATCTGCTCTTCTGATTTGCTTCTATGTTCTTCTTCTGATGCTTTTATATGGATTCTCTGTGGAAAATTCTGACAGGAAAGGCACTGAGCTGAAGAAAAGACATAGATTAGAAGAACTTGGGTGGTCAAAGCAAGCTGACAATAATGACAGCCTTGTTTCTCAGACACTCAACCCTCACTGTTTAGAAGAATTAAAAATAATAATCTATTTTCTGCTTATTTTATACCCATATTATAATAATAACATGCACTATAATTTATGCAGATTATCTGTAAATCTTAACAAGAGTAACTGGAAACCAGTGCAATTAACATCCTATATATACTTACCTTGACACGGGGAATTACCATGTATTTAAATGTAATGACATAAATTGCTCTTATCTAATTACAGTAACATAATGAGATGGTTTCAATATTAGACGCATTTAATTAAAAGAATGTATCAATGATGGGTATATAAGACATGACTGAGACAACTAATGATAATATTAACTTTACAAATATTAACTTTATTTTCATATATTCCCATCCTTTCTCAACTCTCTCCAGAGTTCTGAGGTTCCTGTTTTTTGTGAAGAACAGTCTTAAACTATATTTGTATTTCTTTTAGAAAAAGTCCCCACAATTTGATTGACTTACAGGCAGAGGTGGATATGCTTTGAAGAAAATGAAACTTTACTTTTAATACCCATCACTTATATGAGCTCCTTCCAAGACCCTGTAGCTAATTTTGTATTTTTGTGGATTTATTTCTTAAAAGAGAATCCCTCAAATGATATTACTTTAGGCTCCAGAAAACCTGGATCTGCTTTACTTATAGATTTTGTGTATGTAACTAACCCAATGTCAGCTGTCCCCTCAGATACACCCTGGCTGGGTTTCAGGCTGCTTCAACCCAGATTTGAAACATTGTGCATTCTGGTTTTGCCAAGAAATCCAATAAACACCAAGGATTTGTGTGTGTGTATATATATATATACTTTGTAATGTTTACTGAAGATATGAAGGAGGATGCCTGGGGTGGGGCTAACAGTAGGAGTGGGAGTCCTTTGTTACTATGGAACATGAGCATATATTATCCTAGGTATATATGTTCACTGGACTTCTTTCTTGGTCTAGCCTTTACCAGACCTCAGCTGCTCTTTCTTTCTTTATTTCTTTGCTTCCTCTTCTCTGGATTCTCTTTCATTTTTTGAGTCTTCCTAGAGGTCTTCAAGCTCCCTTGTCCTCTGCGAGGCAGGGCCATCGGCTCTCCCGCTACTCCCTGTGGCTTGCTTGCTTGCTCATCAGTCACACGACCTAGGAAACAAATGGTCACATTTAACTGGCCTCTGATCCTTAGCAACACTTTCCTAAAATATGTTTTTATTGATTTTTAGAGAGAGAGAGGAAGGGAGAGGGATAGAGAGAAAAAAACATTGATGAGAGAGAAACATCATCCATCGACTGCCTCCTGCATGCCCCCTAACTGGGCACCGAGCCCACAATCTGGTCATGTGCCTTGACTGGGAATCAAACCAGTGATCTCTTGGTTCATGGGTCAATGCTCAACCACTGAGCCACATCAGCTGGGCAGTATCTGCATTTTTAATTTGTCTTGATACAAAAGCTGCAGGAAACACACGCAGTGACTGGGCCTTTTCATCATAGGGTTCACAGATTCTGTATAGATTGGAAGAAAAAAGAAAGAAAAAGAAAACCAAATTAATGTATCTATTTATAAATTAAGTGATTAATAATAGGGGCATTTTGAACCTAACGCCTACTATTGACATATGTATGCCTTCAAAACATTTTATAAATAATGCTTTACAGGCTTTGAAATTTTCACAAAAAGATAGTCTATAGAAAAATAATTGAAGTTTTATGTGGCTCTTAAACATTGACCATAAGAAAATACAGAAACAGAATATGAAAAATGGTAAAGAAAAGACTTTATGATAAAGAAAAGAGCTAACAAGCCTTTTTGTTCATCTCATATATTCTGAATCCTACTGAGGATTATCATACAGGGAACAACAATTTTTAAAATAGCAACTGAAGAAACGAAATATTTTTAGTTCCCTGAATTGTCTTTCCACTTTGTAGGGCTCCTGGCTTATTGTAAATTGTAACTTGTATTTCCCCTTAATTAGTGCCAATTCTGTTTTCAAAAGAAGACATATTTTTTGTTCCACTAACCTGTCCCCTTGGTATCATCTGTCGTTGCTGCCTCATTGTCTCATTGTTGTCTCATCCTTAGAGTTGACTGGGGCCAACTTGATTCGGGTTAGTAAGAATGCACTAGTCAGGAATAAAGCTTCTGGCTGACGTGCCCTGGGATCCTCTCAGACATGCCTTAGAGCAGGTTTTGTCACAGTGCCACTTGATTTGCGATGAAAAGAACGAAGTCCAAGAAGGTGTTACTATCATATGCTGGAAGTATTGGGTCTGTTGAAGGGATATATAAATGGACCAACTTAGTATACAGGGTGGGGCAAAAGTAGGTTTACAGTTGTGAGTACGTAAAACAGTTTGTTCTAGTATTATTATTGATTAATTATTGTATTATTTTCCTTACAAACAACTGTAAACCTACTTTTGTCCCACTTGGAATTAGTGGTGATCTTACTAGCAACCATTTCTTAAATAAGCTTACAAGATTGTAGTTTAAATCTACTTTTAGAGCCCAATATCACTATTTCTGAAAGACAGCATTGACACCAGAATTTTCCATAATAAGTCATGACCTGGGAAATTTTTTGGTTCAGCATATTTTATAAAGCATGAGATTTAATATAATAAAATAAAGATTAAAAAAAAACACTTTTTTTTTCCTCTTTCTTTCACAGGTTCTCGTGACACTCTATTTATTGCAACTCCATCTCTCCCTTTTCCTCAAGAAGTTTAGTCATGGTCCTTTTTCTTAGCATAGACACAAACTGAAAATCTGAACCTAAAAATGTTTTTAGGAACATATTGACAGGCACTGGATTTAGTATTAAGAGACTTTGTTAGTTTGGGACAATATGTTCTTTTAAAAAGTACATATGTAGCCTGGGACTTCTGTAAGAAATTATTTTATAAATTTGAAAGTAAATAAAGCAAACAAGAAAAAATTTCCCTTTACCTTAGTTTATTTCTTCTTATTATAGAAGTTTTTTAAAAAATGACAGCAGTCTGCGTTTATTGCTTAACCTAGTGCTGTAACCATAGTGGTATCATTGATTTCCAATTTTCAGGCAAACTGTTCTTGCTGGTGGAAGCCCAAGTCTATTCATTTATTATTGTGTGTACTCAAGAGAGGGAGATGAATCCATTGATCCAGTGGTGCACCACCTGGTTAAATATTTAATGTTTATTCCCATCACTGAAATTTTTTCAAGTTTGGATATTGACAGACACGCACATGCGCAGATGGGTGTGGCCTGCAGTACCTAGTCTCCAGCAGGATACAGTGTGTTTCATCTTTGTAGCTTCACTCACTTGCAGTGTATAGTTTGCAGCGTTATTTTCCGGATGGCTGTCCTATAGTCCAGATTCGAATTTCAGTTAATCTTGATGTCTTCTTGTGTTGTTTCTTGCTAGGGATCATTTGCGGCACTAAGAGAAAGATTCTGCTCTCAGGTCTTTTCCCCACAGCAACAAATACTTTGCTTCATGCCATTCTGATTACTTATATTTAAGTGCTTAAGCCTTGGTTTTTATTTTGAGATCCTTGGTGATCTTCCCAGCCTTAGTCTTTGAAGGCATTTTCATATTCCCAGCATCATGAAGGGACCATGAATACCAGAAGTAGTAGAAACAGTTTTCCCAGAAACCCTTGTCCTTTTGGGCTGATTCTGATCAGCTTAAATTTTGATCTAATTACCTTCTGTCCCTTGGGCTTTGAACCTCATTTTTTCGCCAGGGGTTTTTTGGCTGTCCTCCTGGTTCTGAGCATTCTCAGCCTCTACTGTTCCCATGCAAACCCAAGAAATGCAAACCTGATCCCAAGCAAATACTTGATCATTAATCAATGGTTGTGTTAGATCAGAAGCCCCTTCAAGAGGAAAAAAGTCATATATTGTTTGACCATGTCCATGTCCTTCAGATGTTCTGTGCTGTTATAGCAGTGTTTACACTTTCATTTTTAAAATTGTGAATTAATAACTATAGCTTATTAATTAAAAATTATACATTCCACTGGCTTCTCTATAAAATTAGTTCTATTCTTTCTCTCATCTTTCAGGAAGTTCATGAGAGTCTGAGAGAAGTAGGGCATCTAAACGAACTTTTGGCTGGCCATACTCATGAAATGGACAGAAAATTAGAGAATAGTGTAATACTCTATCATATGCTTAATTCATGAATGAATTTTTAAAGTAAGTGTCTTTTTTCTTGGTTCTAAAAAGGGATTGTTAAAATACTCCAGAAGACAATGTTTTGGTAAAAAAATTGGCTCTGGAGCAGACTGCCCGGGTTCTAAACCTAGTTTTGTGTGACCATGGACAGGCCACTTAATTTTGAGCCTTTGTGTCCTCTATCTCTAAATGATAACATTTTGAGTATAAAATGAGATGTCACATATAAAGTGTTTAGCATGGGGTCTTACTCCTAATAAGAGATAAATAAATGTTATTATGATATGTATATTAGTTAGAGTGCTTTCACCTAAAAGTAATGAACATCCTGACTCAGACTGGCTAAGAAAATTCATTTTCTCAGGGAACAGGAAGACCATTGGTAGGACACTGGTTAGGTTACTGCCCTAAAGGGTAGCTGAGGCCGTAGCTCAGTGGTGTTAAAGAGATTCATAGTTTTTCCATCTGTGATCTGCAATTCTTAGTGTTGGCTTCATGTATAGATAGTAACATGGCCACAGAAGTTTCCTGGACATAAAAATAATTCAGTAGAACAAAGGGAGCTATTGTCTTTTGCAGCTCTCTTAAGCAGGATGTCTTTTCCAGAAGCTCCCAAAAGGACATCTTCATACTTTTCTTTGGTCTGAGTAGAGTCACAAGCTTGTTACTAAACCAGTCACTAACAAAGGAAGTAAAACTCCTCTTAGACTAGACTACATAAGCACACCTTCTGCATCTGAAGATAGGGTCAGCTTTCTCTGAGGGAAGAGGTGCATTTTCCAAGATTGTGCAAATAACCACAATAACATAAAAACTTCAGAGTCTGGTGTTAAGAATAACAAAAAGTTGTCTGTACCTTTGAAAATGTGTCATATTGACATCACCGATGGAAAAGTACCAAGGAATAGGTCTTCCTTGCAAGCCCTTAGGATGATTTTCAAAATCCTAATTTCTTCAGAATAAAGAAGAGTAATATAGGATTTCGGCACTTGTAAGTGATTGATTCCCTATTATCAACCTTTAAATTAAATAACTTCAATTTAACTTGCCTGAGCATTTCACATTTTTTTTTGATCTGATACTTAATATACCCGTATTGGAAGGCAGAGCAAATACAAATGTCTTTATTTTCACAGTTGTAACCAGGGATAGAAAGATACAGTGATTGTACTTCACATCCATCTTCTGACACTTACTGCAAGCCTTTCTTTATATTATACTCTGTATCTGTTCTTTTCCTTGCTGTTCTGTCTCCTCAATTAGAGGACACATTCTTTAGGGTAAGAGACATGTCTCCTATGTATTCCAGTGTCTAGTATTTTAGGATTCAGGATTTGTTTGTTGATTTTAAATGATCCACTGAACTAAAGCATGATTTTTTAAAAATCTTGAGTTTGAATCTTTCCTTGACAGTGATATACCTCTGGACAAAGGAATTAACGTCCCTCCTTGGCCAGCCTCAGAGGACATTTATGCAAGTAAATCCATTCTCCCACACACAAAAATGGCAGTTTGGTACTTAATTTCTTCTTAAGTTTTTTTGTGGCTACTTCATAGAATTTCTCCCAAATTAGACTGTATTTTAAAGGCATGAAGCAATTAACATACCAGAAAAACCCGAAGATTATAAAGTAACGAAAGGACAGCCAAAATCCAATCCAACCAAAACAAACAGAAAAGAAAAACAAAAACCATTCCGCAGAAGCAAATAACATCAGCAGCTACAAAACTAAGCTTTTTCAGGAGGGAAGAGCACAATCAATAGGAAATGAACCAGCCTCATATATGTAGCTCACGACAAGCTAACAGCATCAGCCTCAACAAAAATCTACCATAATTAAGTATAAGATATCTGAGACCAAACTCTTTCAGTCATAAATCAACCAAATTATGTTTTTGTAATCTAAGAGTAACTTTCTAAATGCATTAAATCGTACCAGGCTAAGTTTTCCTGGAGCCCCATATGTGACCGGTGTGCTATTGATTTCATTGGAAACACCTGTGCGAGTCCTCCAGCCACAGGCTTTGTTAGGAGGATTCCTCTCTGCGTGTCCCACGGCGATGAGCCCAAGGAGAGTCTAAAGCCAGATGGATAAAAGTGTGGTGTTGTACCAACATTTAACTGTTTGGAGTCACTTTAAAAGTAAGTTATTGTTTTTTTCTATTTGCACCTTGAACTCTCTCCTATCCCAAAATTGTTTTGGTTTTATCATTGCTTTCATTACAACCAAAGTCAACAAGGTCATTACAACCGCAAAGGTTTTTACGGTTAATAAATGTTTGTATTCTATGGTGTGTGGTCTGCACACATTCACAGGAAGGAAAATACTGACATTAAAATATATATTAGCATTTCAATCCGAATATCACACCTTCCAGTAGTATGTGAATAAAATATAAGAATAAAAGTTTCTTTCAAACTATTAATTAAAATAGATTGTTATTTAAATGTAGTATAATGTATATTTTTATGAGTGCTCTTTGTACACAAAAAACAAAGTTTACAATGTCTTCTTTTGTGAATAAAAAGTTTGGTGCTAAGAAAGTGTACTGATTCTCTTGTTGAATATATACCACTAGTTTTGATTTTTTTTTAAAAAAAAAGCATTTTTAAAACCAAAAAGTGGGCTATTTCTCTTATGGTAGATATTGCATCATTCATAGGTGCATACTGAAGTTCACAAATTCTCTAGTTCCTTTATTTTTTCTCCTTTTTCTGCCTTCATTTCAGTCACATCACCAGAGAAAATATAAATTAAAGATTTAAGAAAATGAACTAGTTGTATGGCTCAGTGAAATTACATGGTCTGGAACACATTTTAGTCATTCAGTCTGCCCTGTCTCCTCATTTGTTAAGGGCATTTCCAACCCTGATTTCTCCTGGAGAAATCAAATTTAAAATCATACTTAAGGTAAAGAGAAAAGGTATTTGAAAGTCTTAATATAATTGCTGATTCTTTCTGGCAACCCTATTAGCTGTAGTTTCAGCAATACTTTTTAATATTAATCTTATTGCTAAATTATTAAAATTTTTCTTAGGAAAATGGATTAATTAATTTGATCTGACAAGTTCTGTTGATTTTAACCCTTACCAAGGATGTTTTTAATTTTTTCCATTGCTTTCAGAGAGAGTGAAAGAGGGAGAGAGAGAAACATTGATGTGAAAGACACATCTCCCGGCACGTGTCCGAACCTGCAACTGCGGTAAGTTCCCTTGACTGGAATCAAACCTGAGACCCTTCAAGCCTTGGGCTGACTCTCTAACCACTGAGCCAAACTAGCTAGGGCAAGTTCTGTTGATCTTATATGGCAGTTAGATCTCTAAGCACTAGGGAGTCATTCGGTTATGTAGTTCCTCAGTAAATATTGCCCTAAGTTGTGAAAATGGGGAGATGTTGCTGGGGGAGGCAGTAGTTCTTACATGAGGAAGAGTGTGAAAGAGTCCTGTTTGCTTGTGATGGTTTGAATGTGTCCAGGTTGCAATCAGGGAAGTGAGCTAAATGACTTCAGAGATTTCTTCTAGCCCAAAGACTCAATAACCATTTCCCATATTTACCTCTAACTGACCTGATTGTTCAGTAAGTAGTATTAGCATTTTCAGTCTCAGACCCCTGTATGTTCCAGTGTTTATGTATGTTATGTAACCCAGATATGAAATAGAGCCTCTAGTGTTCCTCATACCTAAATGTTGTTTTTTAAGTCCCTTCCTAAAATCATGGTTTTGAATCTAAAGCTTACCTCATGATTTTTGTTAATTTCCTGGAAGCATTTACTCATGTGGTCCTCTATGTTTCTTTCTTTCTTTTATCTCACATGAACCACAGAGTTCAAAATTATTTTCCTGGTTTTTCAAAAGTGATTCCCACCCCCAGCCCCCACCCAACTTGCATACTTACACTCATGAAGTAGTCAGCAGAACAAATGAGTCTTCATTTCCTTGCATTGCAGTTGGGGATCACAGCGTGAAAGATAAATATACACAGGAACAGAGAGAATAGAAAAGAATTGAAGGTCACTGGGCTGTCAATGTTTCTTCATATTTTTTAAGGCAAAATTTATTTAAGTGATGAAAGCTGGTCAAATGTATTTCTAGTCTAGTTCAGAGAGGATTACCTCCTGGGGTAACTAGTCAATGGCAAGACAGTGACTTACTAAACATATAGCATATTTGACTACATTAGCTCTCCTTCCCCAAACATCAGCTGCAAAAGGATCCCTTCCTCTTTCCTTTTATAGCTTCTTTCCCTTTAAGATTTTTTTAAAAACTTGACTGTATGGTTACAGCAAGCCATCTGGAACCATTTGAATACAGTGTGCCTGCTTATTAGCAGAGTCACCTCTGGGCATAATTTCTGTAATTTCTCCACTTATGTAAGGTATGGTCTGGGAAAGTGGGGCCAAAGTAAAATCCCAATACAGCGCTGCCCAGTTGCTGTTAATGAGCCCTGCTATTTCACCTCACCTCTGTTAGGGATAAAGTTGAAGCTTGAGCTAAAAGGTAAGCATTTCAAGATAAGTTAGAAAGATAGGTGTCAGGAATAAACATATTTCCATTGCAGTTTTTTTTTACACTTATAATGAAATCCTCATTAAGCCTATGGGACCACCTGGTGCTGCTATACTGAATGATACATTTAGAAAAGATAATGTGGAAATTCAAATGAATGCTCTCTGAAGTTTTTAATAAAACTAAGTTTTAATACTCAAATGAAGAACTGTGTAAGATTTAGGTTTAATTGGATTCTGGTCTAAATTAGAATAAATCATAGTTGAATATTTTCTTAATACTTGAGAAATGTTATTGAATGTCTTCTGATTGTTTTCCCCACCACAGCTGAATATTTTAGAGTTTGCAAAACTTTGCTTACAATAGGACTTAAACAGTTATAGATTTGAATTCAGTTAGTAGGAATGCAGAGCAATTATGTATTCAAATCCATAGAGTGAAGCTCCGGTGTTGGTGTAGTTGTGTGCTTCAGCAACATGGCAAATCAACTACAAATTTACATTTCTGTTCATTAGGCTTGCATTTACCTGCAGGACACACTGCCATCTTTCCTTGGAAGCTCTCTGTTTTCATTGAATTCTGAGATTTGTTTCATCTTCGTTTCATTTTTTTCCCCATTTAATCCAAGGATTAAATGTATTATCTCCTCTTCTTTTTTCTTCCCTAACAGCTGCAACATTTTCCTGAAGTTTTATATCTTATTGCATTGAATAAAATATAAATAGAATTCTAAGCAAACAAATGCATAATCTATTATCAGGGGCTGCCGGATATCAAAGGAAGTTTATTCTCTGCTTTCAGGGTTTTTACATATACACACTATTTTCACTTAAGCCTTTGAAATACCTTATTAAGTTTTAGTGTTTTCTGAGGCTCTTCTATTTTTGCATGAACCAAGATGTTGAGTAAGTTATTTCTCTCTTCCTGTAGTTCTGCAATTGAACTATTGCGAAGAAATGTGCCCCTTTCTGAGGAAAAACATGTGAGCTTGATTTGGAGTTGCAGGGTAAGCAGCAAGTTATTCAAAACTGGGGTTTCCTAATAACTGGACCAATCCCCTCATTTTATAGCAGAGGAGCCAAGACTTGTAGAGGAAAAGTGACTTATCTAAGTTAATGGTAGAGCTGTGTGATCTCTCAGGTACAGCCTGCTGCCTCTCATCTAGAAAATTTTCCACATTTATTGTTCTCCTACTGCAAGCCAAGATTGTATCGGGGATTTTTTTATTTTAACTAATTTTTTTCAGTGTTATTGAAATATAACTGACATATAACACTGTGTAAGGTTAGGTGTACAATGTAATGATTTTATATCTATATCTATATCATCTATCTATATCTATCATCTATCTATCTATCATCTATCATCTATCTATCATCTATCTATCTATCATCTATCTATCTATCATCATCTATCTATCATCTATATCTATCTATCTATCATCTATCTATCAATCTATCTATATCTATTATCTATCATCTATCTATCATCTAATTTATCTATTATCTATCATCTATCTATCATCTATCTGTCTATCTATCTATCTATCTATCTATCTATCTATCTATCCATCTATCATCTATCTATCAATCTATCTATATCTGTCTATCATCTATCTATCATCTATCATCTATCATCTATGGCATTTCATTATCCATTCATCTCTTGATGTACACTTAGGTGGTTTCCATGTCTGGATCATTGTGAATAGTGCTACAATGAACATGGAGGTCAAGATAGCTCTCTGAGATCCTGATTTCATTTCCTTTAAATATATATATACCCAGAAGTGGGATTAATGAGTTTTTTAGGAACCTCCATACTGTTTTCCATAATAGCTGTACCAGTTTACATTCCCACCAACTGTGCAATAAGATACCCTTTTCTCCACATCCTCACCAACATTTTTCTTTTTTTAATTTAAAAACTTTTAAAAATTAAATTTATTGGGGAGACTTTGGTAAATAGAATCACATAGGTTTCAAGTATACATTTCTATGATACATGATCTGTATATTGCATTGTGTGCCCACTACCCAAAGTCATATCATCTTCTGTCACCAAATATTTGGCTCCCTTTACCCCCTTAGCCCTCACCCTTTTCCTTCTGGTAACCGCCATATTGTTGTCTGTGTCTATGAGTTTCAGTTTTATATATACAATGGAATACTACTCAGCCATAAGAAAAGATGAAATACTGCCATTTGTGACAATGTGGATGGACCTTGAGAATATTATGCTAAATGAAATGTCTGCCAGAGAGAAAAGCTAAGAACTATATGATTTCACTTGTATGTCTTTTCTTTTCAATAACTGTTGTAAGAGGTCATCGAGAGGATCTGACCTCGAGCTGAGCCTGGGCAGTCAGAGACTCTTCACCCCTGACCCCTGTCCTTGGAACGTATGTTCTGCCCACTGTTCCCACACCAGGAGTTGTTTCAAAGCCATAGCCTTGAGAGAGCAATGTGTTGTAGAGACCTCTGGACTGAATATGTGACTAAACCCCTTTAAGGCCTCTGTATAAACTTTTAAGATCTAGAAGGCAGGAACAGAGATTCCAAGATTCAATTGTCCTTCAACTACCCAAAACAAGTCTTGTATGTTCCCTTTCTTGTTAAACCTGCCATCTACTAATCTGGAGCCTTCTGCCTCTTTCTTTGGTCTCTTCTTGCCTTCTGAGTACAGGGGCCAGTTTGTGAACCAACAATAATGACCAAGAGTGGTTGGTGCCAGTTTCTGCGCCACTTCAGGGTCCATAACCCAGATGGAGGTCTTTATGTCCATTACCCAAGGCATGGGTGGGCATGGCTCCTCTGGGTCCCTTGATGTATGGTGCTGGTCATAGACCCAAAACCAAACAGGGCTGTAGCCAAGTCTTCAGGGGTGTTGAACTGTTTCCATTTCTGTAGTTGGGACCACAGTTGGCAAGTTAACCACCTGGTTGTGAGCCTGTCTTCTCCAAAGACTCTTCTCTGTTTTGAAAAGCACCAGGATTTTACAGTTCCCTACCTGGATCCCAAAGCTCTCACAAGGCACCTTTGCCTTTGGAGGAATAACAAGTGATTGTTGCAGGGGGTATATGTACGAGGAACATCTTATTTGGCCATTCTGCTCAGGAATGATATTTTTATATGGTATATATTTCTCCTTAATCTATGACCTTGCAAACTGCCGAGTACATATATACTGTGACAACCACATTGATAGTTATTGTTTAAATAATTTTTGTTTAAGAAACATTGGACCCAAGCAAACCAAATAAATGACAGTAATAATTTACCTAAAAGAAGGACACAAATTACAAATAATAGGGTTCGTTATTTCAGGAGTAATTATCTTAGATAAATAGTTGGATACACTTTTTGTATACATTTTTAGACAAGAAGCCACAACATAAAAATCAAAAGATCATAGGCTCTGATATAGAGAGGGCCCAGGTTCAAATCCCATCCCCCTCATCTACTGGTTGTTAACTCTTGGCCAAATTACTTTGACCTGGGGGAGACCAATATATAAACAGAAATATGCAACATACATAGCACATGCTCTGATTGAGACATATGCAGGATGCCATGCGAGCAAGGCTGGGGGATGTTGGAGAAGTCATACCTGACCCTGAGCAATTGAGAGGCTAATACTGGAAACTGTGGTATAAATTATGAGGTGTAGAAAAGCTATCTTGTTCGAAAAATGGCTCTTTCCATCATCAGCCATTACTCTCAGCAACATACTGCACGGGTGCCTAAAATTGCAATAGTTGTAATTACTTCTTTGGGATAAATCTTTCTCTACAATACCTCAATGAAATACCAATATGTCCAAAAGGTGGGGAAACATATTCATAACATCCCCACCTTGCTCTCTCTGCTCCCTCTTGTTACCTGGAGGCAGGTTAGGGGTTGGGGCAAATAAACAAGGCTAGAAGGGTTGGAAGGAAGAGGCTGGAAAAGGTTTGGTGAAAGAGTTAGCCCCAGATTTGTAGAATGGCACTTCTCCAGAGCAGGGGGGGAGCCTACAGAGGGTGAGGATATACTTCGCTGATCTGATTATTTTTCTGTGTCCCAGCTTAGTTCCTAAATGTGGACACAAATTTTTGGGACCATGATTATATAAGACATGGATAGTTGGAAAGCTGAGACTATTAAGGAAGGGTTTTCCTTTATTCAAAGCTTTAGTATACACATTTCATAATAAAAAAAACACGAGAGGAGAGTCAGCATGTCTACAAATATGGAAGATGCAGAATAGCAACTACTATAAAGAAATTATCTTTTGCATGAATAATATTTTATATATTTGCCAAAGCAGGGTTGAATGAGAACTAGACTACGGAGAGAAATCTTTGGGAGAAAGCATCTAACTAACCCCAAAGCTGCAGTTTTCAACCACATATGCCTCTTACACTGACCTGCTGACTGGGTGCTAGAGAATTCCAGGATTTCCATCAGAACCCCCAAGCTCAGCGAAGGACATTCGGCCACCTTGTTTGGCTCAAATATTCACTCAGACTCCCATCTCAGTTCTTAAAAGGCCAAACAGCTGAAGGTTTACTTTAC